GGGGGGGGGGGGGGGGGGGGGGTTACAAGCTGTAACAAAGCCCCTTCCTTTGATCAGCTGTGGTGGAAATGAGCTCAAGTCTGGTAGGTGAGTGCAGGGACCGGGCCGACCCGGTCCGATTGCCTCGCTCTGAATGTCAATGTATTCCAGAGGGCCTCGGGGGGCCGGCGGTCTGATGCCGGTCACGCTTAATTGGGTGACAAATCCGCCAAACATGATTGTCTACATGCTGCAAGGAGCGGCTGACATTCAGATTCAAGCTGCTGGGTTCTGGGTTCTAACTGGACCAGACCAGGGTTCTGGGTTCTAACTGGACCGGACCAGGGTTCTGGGTTCTAACTGGACCGGACCAGGGTTCTGGGTTCTCTACGTTTACAGTGTTTAAATAACTGCTGCTCAGGAAGAAAATCCTTTCTGCTGTTTTCTGTTTTAAAGCAACAGATTTCGGCTGCTTGTCCTCGGCTCGTCCTCCGGCCCGCGGGGACCTACCTGCTTCGTAGGTGGTGGCGTGCGCCGTCATGCTCCAGGTGCTGGACTTGCGACCTTTGGTCACCATGACGGCGAACTCGTACATGGTGTTGGGTTTGAGGGCGGTGACGGTGTGGCTGAGAGCCGTGGTGTCTGCAGACTGAAACACACAAACAGCTCAGAAGCTGAAGGTCTCGGCTCCTTCAGAGGTTTATCAGAGGATCCAGACAGCTGGTGTAAAAGGAGCGTCTCTGGTCCAGTTTGTCCACAGCTGACCAGTCTGAGTCTGGGAGGGAAAAGGCTTCCTGTGTTTCTAATCAAGCAGCAGCAGGTAGAGCAGCAACTATTGTTCAGGAGCAACATTAATCAGCTGCGAGCCGCAGAGAGGACTCATTAATCCTCGCTGCTGAGCTGCTGCTCAAACAAAAAACAACAGAGGAGGGTTCACTAATTATTCTGAAAAACCTCCTCGCTTCAGATTTTCTGTTACAAACCTGAAATCAACACAAAACACTAAATCTTTCACTTTCTATAAAAAAACAACAACATATAAATGAGTGTTTGTTTTTCTGCTGAYTCACTCAAACACACAACAGGTCACTCAGACCTGAACCACTTTATTAAAGACCAGCAGAGYTTCTGTGGGTTTACCTTGAACTTCCCGCTGGTGGAGAAGCTGGACTTCCATTTGACAGAGTAGTACCGGACCTCCGAGGACTTCTGGTTCTTGGTCATGGAGTTGTCGGCCCAGGAGACCCGGACCGAGTCCGAGGACAGGGCCACAGCCTGGACTCCTACTGGAGGGATCATGGTGGTGCTGGTGTCTGGCATGGGAGTGGGGTACTTATCAAAGAGGTGGAACAGATCGTCCTCTAATGGGTCTATGGGGTCTGAGGGTGTCCAGGTCCAGGGACCAGGAKGGGGTGTGTGAGGTTTGATCAAACCAATGTGTGAAAAGGATGATTTATAGATGAACATGTGACGAACATGTGAAACAAAATGTGTTGAACATGTGACAAACGTGAAAAAAAATGTGTTGAACATGTGAAGAACATGTGATGAATACATGAAACAAAATGTGATGAACATGTGATGAACATGTGATGAACATGTGAAACAAAATGTGTTGAACATGTGATGAACATGTGACAAACATGTGAAACAAAATGTGTTCAACATGTGATGAACATGTGATGAACATGTGATGAACATGTGAAACAAAATGTGTTGAACATGTGATGAACATGTGAAACAAAATGTGATGAACATGTGAAACAAAATGTGATGAACATGTGATGAACATGTGAAACAAAATGTGATGAACATGTGATGAACATGTGAAACAAAATGTGATGAACATGTGACGAACATGTGATAAACATGTGACGAACATGTGATAAACATGTGAAGAACATGTGAGGAACACATGATGAACACATGAAACAAAATGTGACAAACATGATAAAAAAAGATGAACATGTGATAAACATGTGATGAACATGTGATAAACATGTGAAGAACATGTGAGGAACACATGATGAACACATGAAACAAAATGTGACAAACATGATAAAAAAAAGATGAACATGTGATAAACATGTGATGAACATGTGATAAAAGATGAACATGTGATAAACACGTGATGAACATGTGATGAACATGTGATGAACATGTGATGAACACATGAAACAAAATGTGACAAACATGATAAAAAAAGATGAACATGTGATAAACATGTGATGAACATGTGATAAAAGATGAACATGTGATAAACACGTGATGAACATGTGATAAAAGATGAACATGTGATAAACACGTTATGAACATGTGATGAACACGTGATGAACATGTGATGAACATGTGATGAACACATGAAACAAAATGTGACAAACGTGATAAACAAAAGATGAACGTGATAAACATGTGATAAAAGATGAACATGTGATAAACATGTGATGAACATGTGATAAAAGATGAACGTGATAAACACAAGATGAACACATGATGAATATGTGATAAATGTGATGAACACATGATGAACATGTAATGAACATGTGATGAACATGTGATGAACACGTGATGAACATGTGATGAACATGTGATGAACACAAGATGAACATGTGATGAACATGTGATGAACACATGATGAACATGTGATGAACACATGATGAATATGTGATAAACGTGATGAACACATGATGAACATGTGATGAACATGTGATGAACACGTGATGAACATGTGATGAACACAAGATGAACATGTGATGAACATGTGATGAACACATGATGAACATGTGATGAACACATGATGAACATGTGATGAACACATGATGAATGTGATAAACGTGATGAACACATGATGAACATGTGATGAACACATGATGAATATGTGATAAACGTGATGAACATGTGACGAACATGTGATGAACATGTGATAAACATGATGAACACATGATGAATATGTGATAAACGTGATGAACACATGATGAACGTGATGAACACATGATGAATATGTGATAAACGTGTTGAACACATGATGAACGTGATGAACACATGATGAATATGTGATAAACGTGTTGAACACATGATGAACATGTGATGAACATGAATAATGTAACGTT